TTCCCATCGATCGTTAACCGTGGGACCAGAAGAAGAATGGACGGGAAGAGAAGGAATCATGCTGGCAGAATAAAACCACTCAGAACGCCAATCCCTCATAGAATCAACTAAGTCATAGTCAAAGAATTTAATTTTGAGACCCTAACGAAATTGAATCCCACACCCACCAAGAACAGAAGTGTCATCACGGCGGGGTTGTGGTTTTAGACGAAAGAAGTAACGGAAGAGGAAAAGAGAAGGAGGAATTCCAAGAAAAGTTTTACAAAGATGAACAAAAATAGAAAGATGAAGGACAGCATTGGGGGTAAGATGGTTCAAGGTAATCCCAAAATAATTAAGGAATCGATGGAGAAAGGCAGAAGCGGGAAGGCAGAGCCCAGCACGGACAAAGGACACAAAGAGGACGATCTCACCAGGACCTGGAGCAGGGACCCGATGCTCACCTGGAGCCCTCCATTCAGCAATGTCCTTGCTCTAGATCAGACCATCACCAACAAGCTCATGAAGCTGGTCTTCAGTCGTTGTCGGAGCCGGCCAAGCCTTCTGGGCAGCCCTCATGGCCATGAACTCCTGGTTTTCGATCATGGAAAGGGATGACTCCTCGTCCACGAAGGCAGCCTAGGACTTGCTCGCGGCTTTCTTCCTACCCATGTACTAGCGGAAGCAAAGGTTCACTAGGGAAAGACGAGGCTAAGACGACGGTGCTCAGATGATGGCGACAATGGCGGCGGTGGATTTCTGAAAACTAGGGTTTCAAGGCAAGAGCAGGGCAGTAAAGAAAAAGAAGATGAAAGGTCTTTAAATAGATTTTACAGCGATAAAAACGGCCCACCAGGCCCTTTAAAGCACGGTGTGAGAACGCAACGGTCCATTTTCTGACACAGCTAAAATGACGGAAGGCACAAATCCACATAACGGTATAGTTCAACGGGCAGATTTCGGACTTATCCATCCAGGAAAACGGCAGAGTTACCATATTGCTGCAAAAAGAACTCATCAACCATGAGGCAACGGAAGGTTACCTCACAAGGAACATAACAACCCGGTCCTTAAAAAAGAACTCGGGACACTCATGAACAACCGGGACATCAGCAGAATAAAGAATAACAACTCAGAAGACAAGATTCTTTTCATTATAAATGGTTTCAAGAAATTAAAGATTACACATCTTACAAGACCCAACGAACTCAGTACTACGACAAGCAAGGTAGCAAAGAGGAACCCAGACACAGCTAGGCTCTGGAATGACTACGTGTCCCAAATTGCTACTCGGTAGAATAAACCGCACTCGGCTACACTGTTTTCTTCAAAGGACGGACGCAGTGCATCCAAGGCGGAAATCAGCAGCACGACAAGACAACATAGACCAGGGGAAGTCGGTAGGCATCTGTCTACCCAAGCCCGACATGATGAAGGATCAGGTGTTGATCTACACCGGACAGTCGCAGGGCCGGCAAGGAAGATCAACCCAGAACTGCTGGATGAAGGAACACATCCCACATCATAAGACTTCCTCCAACTACCACCACGTACTTCCAAGTACAATGCTGCTGCGGGATTAGTCTACCTCTAATCCCTATCATAAGACTTCCTCCAGCTACGACAAGATGCACAGGAACTACAAAATACGCCCGGGGGCTGCTCTACTTCACAAACTACCATATTCATGACTACGAAGGCTTCAACAAAAAGTTCAATGGATGAAAACAAGCACCCCAGGAGGGTATTTATAGATCGAAGGAGCGGCGCACATGGACTAGAAGTACCAACGAAACAAGCCTAACAAAGGACACAGTGAAAAGATAGGACTCAATAATGGAAGACTCAGGCGAGAAGGAACAGTACTCGAAGATGAGCATATTCGAAAGAATATGCCAATGCTGTACAACCCGTGAACATGCAACATTTACACTCAACCACCACCATATAACTACACCTGACAAACAGCAGACTAGAATTGCAACTCGACCACCTAGTGTCACTCGATGCAACCTCACGATGCAATCGCACTAGAATTGCTCACTCACTCGATCGGATGAACACTATGAAGCAAGAGTGAGTTAGAGGGCTCCCAAGCACCACCACACAAGCCACCAAGGCTCTAATGTGCTCAGCTATCAGCCAAGGGCCGACCAACACTTCTATTTATAGCCCATGAGCTAAACTAGCCGTTACCCCTAACACTGGGCAAGAAACACAGCGACCGAACGCGCCTGTTGGGCCGACCGGACATACCGCGTGCAGCGTCCGGTCACCGGATGCTCGCCACGCGTCCCCATCTTCAAACGCTAAGCGTCGATCTCCAATGGTTGAAATCTCCTGCGCGATCACTTAAGTCACGATCAGACGCTCCATGCCATGACCTAACGCAGCCATGCAGCGTCCGATCCTCACACGCCCGCATGCCACCAACAAGCGATTGGACACGCCGAACACAGCAGCCCCCTGGCGTCCGATCACTTCCAGAGAAGGTCCAGAGAGGAGAAAACGCGACCTGACGCGGTCAGCGTCCGGTCTTTCACTCTCTCTACTCTGCGCGCCAGAACACCGCCCGTCACCATACGTCAGCAACGACCGGACGCGGCCGCTGCACGTCAGGTCAATTTCAGCGTCAGCGTTCGGTCACAAGACCGAGACCGCGCGCTCTCTGCAGCCACTTGACCGGACACACATGTCCTCCCGAGGCCAGCGTCCGGTCACTCACAGTGACATCCTTTCGCCTCCTTTTTCTTCACCGAGTTGATTCGTTTCAACTCCAACTTCTTCTCCTTTGCAAATGTGCCAACACCACCAAGTGTACACCACCATGTGAAACTGTGTTAGCATTTTCACAATCATTTTTTAAAGGATTAGTCACTCAATTCTCCACGCCACTCGATCCTAGCAACGATGTAAAGTTAGATAACTCGAGTAGCACTAGATGACCGATATGCAAACAAGTTTGCCCCTCTTGATAGTACGACCATCTGTCATAAATCTGGTCATGCACTTCTCTACACAACCTATGACCGATGAAATGAAATGCCCTAGGTTATACTTTTACCTTGCGCATTTCATTCCATCTCCTCCATTATTGATGCAACACATGCACCAACCAATCACCAAATGATATGATCCACTTCATATTATCACGTGACTGTATTGGTTCATCGATCTTGACTTCACTTGCTTTTCACCGTTGCCTTCGTCCATCGGCGCCAAGTCTTGCTCAAGCTTCACCGCCACGCGGTCCATCGCTCCAAAGCCTCCAACTTACCCTTCACGCTTGCAACCGGTCCATCAAGCCAAGTCTTGTCTTGATCTTCTCTACCTTAGTCACATGACTCTATGTCATGTCTCATATGCAATGAGCTCCTTCATCACATGTGTGAGCGTTGCACCAAGTTCAAGCCATCTAACCTCCATGGCATGTATTGCTTACACACTTGTACATATGGACTAATCACCTGTGTATCTCACTCAAACATGTATTAGTCCACCTAAGGTTGTCACTCAATTACCAAAACCAAACAAGAACCTTTCAGTCGCCAGAGCGGGCGGCCGAGCGAGGTTAGGGCGGGGCAACCATGGCCATGGCGGCGGGAGGGGGGGGGGAGGGGAAGGAGGAGAGCCGTGGGCACAGTAGGTCTCGCTGAAGCTCTGTGGCCATGTGGGGGTTGGGCGACGATGGCGCGTGGCGAAAAAAGAATTGCCGGTGCATTGCTATGGTCTGAGCGCCTGGTGTATAACACGACCTCCTTTGTTCACAGTTACGACAACCATTATTATTGGGAGCTGTAAGAAACTTCCTTCTAGTATGGGGCTTTGAGCCAGGGACAAAGACCAAATTAAAAGACATTGCACCCAACCTCTTCAAAATTTCCAAAAGAAAAGATATCCCTATACACAACGTTTCACAACTAAAATTGGATCAGGTATCTTAACTTGCAACATCGTGGTTTCACTATACCATATTTTATCGATGACTAGCAAATATGTCCGTGCGTTGCAACGAGATTTATATCATGTGTCATTTGTTCTAATACGCTTCAAAATCGGAGTCCGTACGTTGGTTGGACATATGCTATCTAATTCGCTTGAGTACCGCTCATGAGTTAGAATCAATTAAGCAATTACGATTTTAATCTCTTACCAAAGAAAGGAGCAATGACTTATAATTCACAACGTAGAAACTATTAACATATAGTGTTCTAATCGTCAATTCTTGATAAACTCAATGCTATCTATTTCAATTTTCAACGTGGCTCTCTCTTTGAAAAAAAAAGAGAGAGAAAGATATGAGAGAGAACCCCACTCTATCTCGTATATATGAAAAATTACAATAAAATAGACTATAAGTGCATATAAATTATTAAATAATTAGACGTAAGAGATGTTCGTGCAACTTGCAAATTATGCATTTTTTATAGAAAAAGTGTGTTGTTTGTTGCAAATCACAGTAACTCCAATATCGGTAGTATGTACAATCTTCAAAAAGGAAAATGAAAATTAAATACAATGTATAGTTTCGAAATAAACGTATATTTGCCTACCAGCAAAAACAATGCTTAAGCAAAGATATAAATATAGATTTAAGCCTGTATTTATCCCTAAATAGATTTTATCTCAAATCACTTAAAACTTAGTCATCTATTTATCGCCTCGATAAAAGATGTGGGCCAGAAAAACATGGCACACACTTGATGAGTACGCGTACAGAGTCCTGAATTTATCCAACACGACTTCGCAATGCACATTGGGTGGAGCCAGGAGCCCAACTCAGAACTGCCGCGGGCCCTAGCACTATTATCTATGTCGTGGTCACGTGTTCCTATAAAAAAAGACTTGTTTGCTAGGGATCCGCCTCATAAAAACAGCTTCGACTCTTGCTCATTCGAAGAAGCAGCTTCTGAGAGGAGCAGAAGCCTTTATAATTTTTTTTTTCTTTTTTCCCTTTTCTTTCTTAATTTTTCCCTCTCTATTTCTCAACCTTATCCCTTCTACATGTGCACGCTCTTTCTTCACGCAGCTGCGTATTCCCGCATCGCTCGGAGGGGTTTGGACTTTGGAGTCGCCGCCGCCGGCCTCCTCTGCCCCTCTCCACGCCGCCTAGGAGGGACCTCCCTGCGCAAGCCTCCGCCCCTCCCAGCGCCGGCCTCGCCCTTGCCCACACCGAGCCTCCTCCGCACCTCCGGTGCCGTCATCCCCGCCGACCTCCTCGCGGCGGTCTCCTTGCCCCTCTCCGCGGCGGTCTTCCACCCGGCCTCATCCCTTCCAGCGCCGGCCTGAGGCCCACCACCCGACTGTCGCGGAGCGCTGCCGCCGCCTCGTGTGCCTCGCTGCCGCCGTCGCGGCCTTTGCCGACGACGCGGCCCTGGTGGCTTCCGATCTCCCCGACTTTGTCCGGTCCGACGCCTATCCATGACTCTAAGAAGGATTTGATTCAAGATGCTATATTTGTCTTTAGATTTGTGATTTCCTGACTCCCGAGCCTTGCGTGCTGAGATGAAACTCTGTCTGTTCTTCAGTTCGGAGCGTGCTGAGATGAAACTCTGTCCGTTTTCAGTTTGGGACAGGAACAGGGACTATAAAGTGGAAAACTTATTATCTGATTCTATTTACCATGTGGTTTGATTCAAATTGTAGCATTGTTGTATTTGATTTTGGTTCAGTTTGGAGTATTTGATTTTTGTTTGAGTTGGAGATCTGTACGACATGGTAACTTGGGCAAGTTCTGTTTATTTTGTGGTTTGATTCGATTCATTGTTGTATTTGGTTTTGGTTTTGTTTGGAGTATTTGATTTTAGTCCAGAAAAACGAAAAATAATCGGAAAGAAAAAATTATTCGGATGTGGAAAAAAAAGAAACCGAACAAGTGTCTGTTGCACTATGGCGCTTGGTACAAGGCTTACATTTGCCGGCAAGTTCAACTTGGGTCCAGTTTAGTAGCAAAAAATTTTGTAAATTTTTTCAAGATTTTCCGTCACATCGAATCTTTACAGGCATGCATGAAGCATTAAATATAAATAAAAAATAAAACTAATTATACAGTTTAGACGAAATCTACGAGACGAATCTTTTAAGTCTAATTAGACTATGATTGGATACTAATTATCAAATACTCCCTTCATCTCAAATTGTAAGTCATTCCAAAAATCTTGAAGAGTCAAAGTTTTTTTAAGTTTGACCAAATTTATATAACAAAATAATAATATTTATCAATATTAGATTCTTCATTAGTTATATTTTCATATTATACCTATTTGATATTATTAATCTTTGTGTTTCTCTCTATAATTTTAGTTAAACTTAAAAAAGTTTGACTCTCCAAAATTTTTGGAATGACTTACAATTTAGATTGAAGGGAGTAACAACTAAAACTGCTACAGTACCATTTTACCCAAATTTTTGGTATCTAAACAAGGCGTTGCAAAACTCTATTCTTAGGGTCTACAATAATAACGGACCAACTTTGACTCACTCATTTGGAAAGTTTGGACACCGCCTAAATTCAAGTTCATGGGTGCTTCTCCATCCATAACAAACCATGAACGTTGTATACGCTCCATCCAAAGTAGACTATGGACATCGGATGGTCTCCAGGTGTGACTTGACAAGTTTTTTTTTTTTTTTTTTTGACATCAAACGATTTTATTTCAGCAGCAAGAAGCTGCAAGAAGCCTTACAAAATGTATGTTTACAGAAGTCAGTATTGTGAAAGAAGCCAGCGCAAAAGGTGCAGATTCTCTGAACTTTCTCATAATGAATGAAAACTATGATGGACCTTTTATCAGAGTGGGAACAAACAATTTATCCTTGGCTGGATTGGTGATGTTAATCTTAGCTGCGACAAACATATCTTCACGGTAAATAGAGGAAGGAGTGAGTTGTTCCAGATCTTCCATTCAGCCAGGCTAGAGCTCCACAACGCCTGGAAGGACAGGTACGGAGCAGTAAACGAGGTACTCAGAAACTTATTTCTAGCAAGCTTCCACACCAACAGAAGCATGATGTTTGTATTTAAAAGGCAACCTTGGATTGTCCTTTTTTCGCTTTCTTAGGGCGCGTTTAGTTCGTGAAAATTTTTGGCTTTGGCTACCGTAGCACTTTCGTTTGTATTTGGCAATTAGTGTCTAATTATGGACTAATTAGGTTCGAAAGTTTCGTCTCGCGATTTCTCACCCAACTGTGCAATTAGTTTTTTTTCATCTACATTTAATACTCCATATATGTGTCGCAAGATTTAATGTGACACTTTAAGGTGAAATTTTTTGGGAACTAAACAGGGCCTTAGTCGCAAGCCGACTCGCTTCATCAATGATGGACCTCTCTTTCAGCCGTACTTTGCAACTCCAGGAAATGAATGTGCTCTTTGATCATCTTAATCAGAGAAATTTGCAACAGAAGAAATGCTTGGGTTTTCAATTGGAGAGAGTTAGCTTGTAATCAGCTACTCTACAAAAATGATGGATGGGATCAGAATGTGGATCATGGCAGGCTCAGAACATCTCGCGATTCTGATAGACTGACTGAGCGTTTTTACACTCTTTGTACAACCCTTTTTTTTTTTTTACGAATGTTGTTTTTTCTTCTTGTATCTGGCCTGTCTTGAGAGGCAGTCCTCATGCCTTTCGTTTCAGAAAAAGAAATTTCGCCACGCAGAGTGGGGCATCCATATTACAACTTCTAAAGTATTTTGCGAGGTACGGTTCCAAAGTTGGGAGTATTTCTATTTTACTTTTTAATTAACTAAAATGAGAACTCTCTCCATTCCAAACGTAAGATAATTTGGTTTTTCTAGATACGTAGTTTTTGCTATACACTCACAACGGGAAGAATGGCACAGTGGTCCGTGCCCTTTGTGCTTCCTAGCTTTATTCAAAGACTTCGTAAATAAATTCATAAATACACATCTCACTATATGATTGTGAAGCCAGCATACAGAATTATAGAGGACACATGCCTCTCAAGTCGTATTTATTCGCCAGTTCCTGGGATGGCCGAGCAACATGATGCCGGAACCCATCTCAACCCGACGGCATCACAAAGAATTTGTTGTACACAATTTCAGGAGCATTCAATTCAACCTGCCACAGTAGTTACACCGCCTTGATTGGGGTCCTGGGGCTCGAAGGAATGCCGCCAAACCTGTTGACCAGGACCTTGAAACAAGGGAACGAAACAACATACAGCACGGCCAGTACAAATGGTGCAGCAACGAGCCAACCCAGCATCTGTTGTCGACAATAGCAGTAGTCTTATGTCAATGTCGCAGCAAAGCAAGAGTAAAATAGTGCTCCTATCCTATGAATAAGCAGAACTGATTGCGGAAAGGCTGTTCACTAACCGCACGGACGATGCTCAGTAGCACATCCTTTGAGGCATGACCAGTGAGGACATTCTTCAATGCATTGGCCGTCAAGGGGAAGTGCCCACTGCCAGTGATGGTTTCCCCCAAACGCAAAAAAGGGACGATCAAGCTGCAGAAAAGGGGATCAGCAATTAGCAGAGCCAAACATATTAAAACCAGAAAGAAAGAATGTAGAGAACTGAGAAACTCATCAGGTGGCTGGATTAGAAGCATACACCGCTGTTGTACAGTTGGTTATTCATATCAAAAGCACGTCTCAGTTGAATTGTAAAGCAAAATGAAGCAGATCATTGACGCAGGGCAGAATTTAACAATATATTCAGTTACTCAATAGAGCCTGCAAAATCCTTACACCCATAAACGTGATAGTAATAACTGATTTCGGCTGTGTGGCAGTGCAGATACAGTTATGCAAGATTGTTTATTGATGCAGTCACTAGCATACTACTAGAATCCAAGCTTGATCTATGCAAATGACCTCACAGAGACTTCAGACCTTCGTAGGCAATCAGGTATGGCTTTGGCCACAGGAGATTGACTGTGTGTACCTTAGCTCAATGGGAGTGGCGGCCAAATTTAGAACCATAACAGTAACAGCATTGCAACGACTTCCCAACATTGCTACAGCAACAGCACCAAGAATAACAGTGGTCCCTGGAATCACAATATGCTCAAGGATAAGTGATGATGCTTTGAGGAACATATGGCTGGATCGCCAATTGATATAATGCAGGATTAGTGATTAAGCATGACTGCCAGATTGGTTTGCAGGCATGATTGAGCATGACTACTGTTGAAATTTTGAGAAACTTTTAGAATTTGAGAAACTTTTAGAGTAAATTTAATTTATGTCGTACTTATAGGTGTGCCAGAGCTAAAAAGGGGTTTTATTTTTGGCCTCCCATACAGGCTACTGCCAATAACATGATGGTTGGGATGAATCAAGAACCAGAAGACATTTGACAGAATACCAACACTGAAGCACGGGAAACTTGAGAGGGTAAGAATGATCATGCCTTCGAAAAAAAAAAGAAGAATAGAAAAGATGGGTCGTGCTTTAGTTGCATGATAAGAAAGTGGGACAATGAAATGCATATACTAGGGAGCTCCTTACCACATATTGGAAAGATCCCAATCGTGACACCAAGGGCAGCAGAGAAGGCCAACTGCTTGGGTTCTGCTCCCCTGCACGGCATCCCAACAGAAGATTGTCAACAACCTCATTCAAGAAGCAGATGGAGAAGACATGCATGCAAAGAATCAGGGTACTGCCAAGCTGAATGCCAAAATCTTGGCCTGAAATGCAGTGCTCCTCCGTAGGACGCATTAGCTATTATTATGACTGAAATGAAGCGATTGGGTTGAAGAAGTGCAGCAGATGGGGAAAAGAGTGGGGGTCCCTACCTTCTGATGACCTGCAGCACGGGATCAACAATCTTGGCCTGGAGCCATGCGCCAGCCCTGGTGAGAAGAGAGCCCATTCAATTAAGCCGGGGGCATTCCCTGGTGGTGGAGTTGAAGGGAGCAGTGGCAGGGGCGGAGCAGTACAGGACATGGGTGTGCACAAACAATAATTTTTGCACAAAATTCTTAGTTTAGTAGGCATAATACACATGTAAAATCGGCTCAGATCCGAATATAAATAGCCAAATAGCAGGAAGGGAGGAGAAGGGGGTGCGTATACCTGGTGGAGTGTCGCCGGCGAAGACCTGGGCACCTGGCTTAGGGCGTCAGCGGCGGTCGCCCAGTTGTCCGACGAGGGGTGAACAGGTGAAGAAAAGGAGAGCAGAGTTGAACGCAGTCCGGGGCCCTTTGGTGCTCCGACGAGGAACGGGTGGGAGATGGAAGGTTGAGAGGACCGGAATGGAGGAGGACGCCCCGGAACCTTGGATCTGGCGGGCCTCCGTCGTAGCAAGCAAAAGTTTCGGGCAAAGCAACGTCGGGTGGAGTGCAAATCACCAAATCCTGCAGCTGTTTAAACAAAAACAGATATAAATTGGATTTGGACTTTGGACACCGGCCATCCTTGCTTGACAACCAACGGGTGACACGTGTAACGTTACAATCAGTGTTTGTACGATAGCGACTTTGTATTGTCCATCAATGGTTTTGATTTTTTTATTAGCAACACTGCAACAGTTATTGAGAAGATGCTTCAAACACGGAGAGTGGACTTACCTCGTTTTTGACAAATACATTGGTTATTAGCATTAAACATGTTCCAGCATCTTCGAGAGTTTTTTTTAAGACTCGTTCTCTGAATCATTATTTAGAAAGTTATTATTTGAATAAAAAATTCTCTCTTTCTTCTTCACGCATAAACTCTCTAAATCATTATTTAGAAAGTTATTTGAATAGAAATTTCTCTTTCTTTTTCACTTATTAAAATTTCTCTCTTTTTTTTCACTCTCCAATAGCTTCTCTATAGAGTGACATCCCTGTTCTCTATCTTTGGCTTGTGAGGTATCAGACACGGAGGATAACAATACTTAGGCCCCGTTCGCTTGGAGGAATTTGAAGGAATCTGAATGAATCCGGAGAAATTTGTGAGAGGAAAACACTGTTCCGAAATGAAAAAAGAAGCGGATCAAGCCGGGTTTAGGGGCACGCAAACGGAGCCTTAGGGATTTAAGAAAGTTCTTGGAAAGTTGCTGAGGTCGAAGATCCTTTGGTCCTTTAGACAGTTGTACCAAATTCATCATGATCCTTAGAAGTAAGCACCAATGTTGTTTAAAGGCTCAAAACACTAGATTGTAAGTTCTAGATCACAACTCTCATCCTCGGAGACCAAGGGATCTAAACCCATAAACTCTAACTCTAAGAGCTCCCTCTAAGATTGAGGACCCTGCCCCATGACTCCATGAGTGCGTTCCAACAAGAGGTTACGTGATTTTTTTACTAGTTAAATGCCCGTGCATTGCAACGGAAAAAATAATGCCACAATAACATATATATATGAACATATGTTATACTGTTACCAAAAAAAAGATATTGCGAGCAGATGTACGGAATATCAATAGTACATAAGTCTTAATGAAAGATGGAAAATTAAAATATAACTCAAGTTTTGATATGAAACTGAAACAATCAAGTTTATATTGTAATAATGTAAGAACCTAGTTCATTAGCTACTGTATCACTTCTTGTCCCAAATCTATTCTCTGACAAACCTAAGTGCCACACTTTCTAAACCACACCCTTAGGGTATTTGACTCGGCAAGAACCAGCAATCAAGTAGTCACTTGCAGTTCTCAAGCTACGTTGGAAGTGTCCTGTATATAAGTTGTTTGTTAATATTTAAAGCTAAAGTATTGTTGACTATTTTGAAAAAAATATGTAATGAAAGATATTACCTCTTTTATTGAGTTAGAACCTCTTTATATACGATATTATTAGTTAGTTGTTGCCTTCCTTTTTGTTGTACCTAAACAGCATCACATAGCAGCATTAATAAGAGGTGGTTTTAGTTTAGGTGCGTCACTAATTAAAAAGAATGTAAACCGATAACTTGCAAAAAAGTATATGAAACTTGATTGAAATAATAATACTCTGCATTTTGTCACAAACATCAAATCAGAAAGTCTGGTCGAACATGTAAGATCAGATAATTAGAATGCATATGTTCATGCAAAGAAGTATCCAAAACTTGCTAAGAACAAAATAATGTGATTACCATGTCCTGAAACTCGGTGGCGTTGGAAAACTTACATGACTTAAAAAAAAAGGTCTGTCAATTGTTTCCACAAGTTTAGGAACTGTAGGAACACTAAGATATTTCCACAATGCAAAAAAAAGGTGCTAAATCTGTCCAAAAACTGCTAACTAAAAATATTTTTATTGTTTGTATAGACAGTTTATACTGCTAACAAAAATGCTTAGTATGCAATAATACACACTTTGGATTAATGTTCCTGCCTGTACAGTTTTTATTCGAACTCCAAAGTAGCAAAGCTTAACAACAGTATTCAATTGATCGAGGTGTTGCTGCTGCTTAACTATATATGCAGAGAAAGGTGTCTAAGATGGCAACTTTTGAAAAATTATTTTGGCCTCCATGCAACGTTAAACAGCCTTCGCCTGTTATAGTTTTGCCCTATCAATTCTTGAGATGCCCACTATCTCAAAGAAAAGGAATAAAAAGGTCTTTAGATGCCCATATCGCAGTACAAATGAATTAGATTAGATACCATCTTTAGATTTCTAATATCCAGTCTTTGCAATACAATGACTTCAAATTCTTTAAAATAGCATATTAGTGCTGCCTACACATACACCTTCTGTACCCTGTTTAATGCTAATTCAATGCATGGTGTTGACCTGCAACTATCAATAAAGCATGTGAACAGACTACATCCATCGAAAAAAAATTATATATATAAGAATCAAATGGTGACTATTTAGTCCTAGAAAAAGTACATATTCAGGAAAGGGAAATGCAGCGTGGAGGGGAAAAAAGGATCTTGCGCAACTTTAAGTCTCCAAACGCGCGGAGCCGCTTGAGAATGTGCTCCACACGAGGAGAGAACAACCTGAAGAGCAGATTACAGCAGAGCAGTAGGATTCACAGCATAGCAATAGGGCCTATTGACCTAAAAAAAGATGGACACAATATCATCATTCATAAATGTGCACTTTTCTTTGTTCACAAATAACCCAATGATTTTATATCTACAACAAAACAAGAACAGTGTATGCATTCAAGCATATATCAAAACTGCATCTGAATCTGAAATAATTGAGGCCGCAATGGAGGCAAACATCCATGAAAGCTCTAGGAATCATGATAAATGTACAGGAAACATGGCCAGGTTGTGAGACAAAAGTCAACAACTAAAGACTCGAGGGATAAACTAATACACGAGCATGTGACAAACGTGCTGCTGAACGTTGGACAGTAATCACAGGGTCATGTTGACAAAACAAATAATTGTAGGTATGTTTTTCAATTCATGGCTGCACCCTATTTTCAGAAATCGAGTCGCGGTCTCCTCGCATTGCACAGGCGAGGATAAGGCTTGCCACTAACACCCTTCCTCAGACCCCGCACAGAGTGGGAGCTCTCTGCACTGGGTACACCCTTTTTAACCCTATTTTCAGAAAGAACTCTCAAGGCAATATGTAATTTCATCTAGCAGCATCTGCTAATTCACAGGCAAAGTATCACGAAGCCCACCATCATCCACCTATGCCAGAAGCCAAGACGTGGTAAGAGTCCAGCTAGAACTGGTACCCTGCGGCCCCTGTAAGCCAAAACCCAAAATGAATATTAGCATCGATCGCACAGGAACTCCACTGTTGCAAGCATCAAATCGAACCCATACTGCATACATCCAATGAAGCTGCAGCTTCAACTGACGGCTACAACTATTTTGTTGATTACATAAGGTATGGTGGTATTGAGCTAGATAGCCTATTGCATTGCAGGAATCTACAAGTACAAAATACTGTAAATCGGCCTTACTTATGACGAAAGATAGAAATTTTTTTTCTAAGTCCAACTGCACAGGTAAAGGCAATGGAGGGTACTAACAGCGGCAGGAAGACGTGAGCTAGTCAGATAAGTGCTGAGTGCGTCTCTGGTCTATCTTCTCATTGCTCTAAAGTTTCAACTATCCACTAAATGGCCTTTATCAAGTCTAGACTCTGGAGTCACGTTAGTAGTTGAAGTAAAGTAACTGCTCCAGCCTAATGAAGTATCTACTCCAACCTAGATCCAGTTTCATCGGGGTAGCCTTTCAGTCTGCACGTTTGTTTCATATCTAAGCGCAGCTAGCCTAACAACACCTGATCGCTGCAGCATGGGCACCTAATTTTTCCCGATTGGGAAAAAATCTAATCAGATTCTGTTCTTCGACTGGAAAAATCTACCCAGCAAGTCACCGGATGGAACAAACAAATAACATTGGCCGCAATAAGAATCAGACAAGGAATGAACGAATGGAAATTAAGAAGGGAAGTCCACCAGGAGCGAGACACGTGTGGACGGAGGAAGAACGTGTACCTGTTCCAGCGAGCCCCATAGGTCGGCGGTCCGGAATTAGGACCTGCGACGGTGCCGCTGCTAGACGGAGAGGTAGAATGGCTAACCTGCTCGTCTGAAGAAAAGCGGATCTGTGGCAGAACCAGAACGGCCGTAAAGGGAAGCGCTCGAATGACACGGAAGTGAGTGAGAGACGAGAGGTTTCATCCTCGGGACTCACCTGCGGTAGCGGTACGGATGGAGGGAAGGGGCCGCCGCGGCCGCCGGCGTCGTAGCTTGGCTGGCGGCCGTGGCAGTGGACGAGCAGCGGCGGGCGCTAGGACCCAGGTGCGAGAATCCGAGCGGCGACGGCCGAGGAGAGCGGGTTGGGTCGGGAGAGCAGGGAGCGGGCGGCGGCGTTTTTCTCGGGCGCAATGAGTTGGGTTTTGATTTTGACGCGGCGGGGGGTGGGAGAAATCGTCGTAGGGCTGGCGAGTCGCGGTAACTTTCGTCCTGCCGGTAGACCTGGACATTTGCCGCTTTTTAGTAGGTGAGATAAACTAATTTTTTTATGCAGTTTCCTACATTTGGCGGGGAAAAAAACTTGTCAAAAACAAATAACCGTCTTCACAATATTGTTACTATGCTGAATTGCTGATCCATTTTGTATCCCAAACCCGCAACAATATTCAACAAGTGCACATTTCCACAGAAAGAAATATACAGGAAACGAGGAGCATCATCAGCTCCCTTGTCTTCAAAGACAAATAACTGCTGTAGTTTGCGTAGTTGCCGACTTCTCTGAAGACGACTGGCTAGCTCTCTTCGTCCACAACAATGGTTGCGCCCGAGCCAATTCCAAGCTCCATCAGAGAGGCCGTGTCCTCCTCCAGAAGTTGTGGTAGAGGGCATCACTGTTCCAGTAAATGCAGTAGTCATCATACACGACTTTATGCATGAAAGGTACAGCCCCAGATCTTTTCGATAGGCATATGAGACAATAATCGTACGCGACGCAGTTACAATTCATACCTCTTCTTCGACAAACAGTCTCACTTTTAGGTCCTTCAGTTTAAAGAAGCTTTCACACAAAGATTTTAACTTCCCGACCTGTAACACATAGGAGTTTAAACGTTATTTCATCTCGATACATGGAAGAAACAAGTAAGGGTCTTTGAATTACTAGGCACCACAACTTTTACTAGTTCCCAGCAGTCAAACTAACATATCAAATGTTACTAAGAGATAGATCGAATAAAAATCAGGAAATAATGTCCCACCATCATTGTACTGAAAACTTGGACCTCCCAAAGGAATGCAAACAACCCGATAAATAAGGGTAGCTATGTAGTACCAACTACTCACAGTTGTTGTAGGAGGCAGTTTCTTTGTCAGTGGTTGCTTTTCACCCATTGATGGCCCCACACATTTCAATGTAACACCTGTATGCAGCGTACAAAAACAACCAGTTCTTTCAGCTGACCCGTCAACTATGTAAATCTAGTCAAGATTAAAGTTCAAGATCAGCAGTACTTATAAGGCCAGAAGCCATCTTTTGTGGTCCCGATGTGCTTGAAGTTGGCTTCTCATCTTCAATACCATGAAAGGACTTCAGTTCAGCAAATCTGCATCAAGTTTTTTTTTTCTACCTCTATAAGTATCATTAACAATCTTACCACTATTTATGCAACTATCAAGTATATGTCAAGTGAATAAAACTGATAGATGAAAGCTAGCCACAAAACCCATAATTATTCTGTATTGCATATCCCATAGGCTATTCATGCCAGCTGCAGCTCTCGTGGTTACAGATAATCACTGCATTAGCATTATACACAGCATGATGTTGATTCCATTGAATATTGAATGAATGTGTTATGTCGTGGCTAATGATGGTCTTTAGTGCAATAACTGAATTTGATCATTTAAGAAACAGATTAGGGGTGGCAAAGACACACCAAACACTGAAGGTAAAAGAAACATATATCCTCAGTTTTCGGTTCAGCTGTAGTTTCTTGCGACATAACTGATGAAGAAAGCTAGGCCGATGCCACCTCGACATGAAGGCCCAAGGCCTATTTGTTGACATCCGTGGTCTGATAGGTGATGGCAACAGATGGCATGGAGGTGTGGCAGGGGTCAGCTAGATTAAGATCCACTGATCCATTGGAGACAGAGTTCAGGGTGTATGATTTGCCGGTGGTTCTGCTCTTCAGGAGCTTATCATGAGATTGCTTGCTCCAAGCCCTTAGTGGTCTAGTATGTCAAGTTGGTTATGGTAGGATTTTTATTTTCTTTTTGCAGTGGCGCATATGTAGTGTGAGTGGGTATGTTGGGATGGTTTTTTTCTAGCCATCCCGTTTTTGTAAGTTTTCCCTTTCTTAATGAAATGACAGACAGCTCTCCTGTGTTCGAGAAAGAAATCGGTGCAAACCAAGAAGTTTCACTGAACTACTGTTGTTTTGTAAATTTCAGAAACCGAAATTTATTTGCTTTGTTTGTTTTTCGAATGTCAGGAGCCAAAATTTCCAAAAGGAAAATTAACCAAACCAAAAAAAACTGAATGCCTACCCGGTCACCCCTAAAAAGAATTATATCACAAAATCAATGGACTGTTACTTCTCTGGATCATGTTGTGTCAGCATATACAATTTAAAAACCTAAGAATGAGATAAATGCCACAAACTTACCTAGGATGCAGTCGTTTGATCTCTTCTGGGTCATTTGATTCTATTTTTCCCATAACAAGGCGGACATATCTACAATGACATTGCTTGTATCAGAATTGCAGTGTGACTTCTAGAAAGGCAATTGAAGGGTCTTTTTTTATTAAAAAAAAGCCTGAAAGAATGTACTAGCATTTCCTCAGAGAACCAGAAGAAAACTCTGCAGTTCAGATAGAGGAAAAAACATTTTTAAATTTCCATTAATACTGATCTGATATCCTAAATAGGCTTGACTGGCCATACCACAAAGAAACCTCATATGGTCATATACTAGTTGGAATGATTTACAGATACAAAGGATCAAGATCAACTGACCGTATTTCAGATTCCCTCCGTTCACGTGGGCTTATCTAGACATGGCAAGAAGGATTAAGGATGTCATATATCTTTACAACATATTGTACATTCTAAGAAAAACATCCATGGAGTTGGCATAAACCTCACTGCCATTTAGTATTCCAACTTTCATAAGTCGAGCAACAAGCACAAAACGAGGAGCACCGCCCTTGGCAGGATCAGCTATAGGATTATCAGAAAGCCTGACATCCTACACAAAATTAGAGATCAGTATGGTCATACCAATGTATTATAGATCAGCAACAAGATTCCAAAAAACTAGTTCACTGAAACCAGCTCACCCTTAAATTTGGGAACAGGTTAAGTGAATCCACTGAAGAAAAGTCATCTATGTCATTAGATCCTGGTGAACTTAAAAAAATCAATATTAGCAGTGTCTTCAGTTTTCACTTCCATTTGAAAAGCAGGAAGCACTAGTGCAGTACTGAAGTTAGACAGAATCCTGCTCGAATCTTGGGTTCTTTATATGGCAAAGACAACAAAATCTACCCCACAGAAGGCATATACCTAACAAAAGAACTTGCAAATTTTCAAATGGCACAGCAGCTGCATCATCAAGAGGTCCATCTGTTGAAAGATTAGATGGATACTTCACATGCTTTAGCCTGTTTTTGTTCAAATGGAGTTGTTCCAAACTGGAGAAACAAGGGAGAGAGATCATAAATATTCACAGTACCCAAATCAAATGCAGAAGTATCTATCAAATTAAGGGTGGGAACATTACTATTTCCATTTTTACCTTCTTAAGTAAGAAAATTTCACAATTTCATCCCATGAATCAATGTGATTATCTTCTAGATTTAGGAGCCGCAGTGTATTGAAACCTTGTACAAACTTTCCATCTGGGCTCTAGATAAGAAAGCGAGATACAGTTAGATGTACAAAAAATCATAATTTGTAATGTTGATGTACACCTTGCTGAAACAAGAAAAACATGCACTCGAAATATTGGAAAGGATAATCCAAAAACACCTAGATGTGTTCTCTATTATCATCGGATGCACATGGAAGCTGAGGTATAAGAAGAAACACTAACCATGATCATATTGAGCCTGTTTGACATCAGGTGGAGTTCACTGATACATGAAAGGGAAACTTTAATCTTTTCAACCTGTTATAAAGAAGTTAAAATGAGCTCATAGCGTGATTGGCAATGACTAACAACAAAAGCTTCAAAGTGACAGCAATTGGGTATACCAGTTCCCATGTTACACCACAGTTGTTGAGAACAAGAATTCTGATATTCTCGAGCATTGGAGTTTCTACAACGTCATTCTCCATGGTATTGTTTGTCAAATTAAGAACTTCCAGGGATGCCAGTGCTTGACAAAGAGAGGATATATCCTGAGAGGGAACCAAAATGTTTAGACACAGCAAACGAACAAACAGTTAAACACAGAAGGACAGGGGATATGCTGCAAACATTTGGTAGTACCACCAACACTGTTTCTCTTGTTGCTTTGATGTTATATAAAGCCACGCAATTGTAAGTAGAGCAATTGAAATAACAAGAATCGCTCTGTGGGAATTCTTACTTGCCACTGTGAGAATAGATTTCCAGTCAAGTCAAGAAGTCTGAGATCTGGAACATGCAAAACAGTTGTCAGAACAAATGGAAACCTAGGCTTTAATAAGTCCCTGAAGAAACAAATGGTAGCAGAACCATCTGCTCCAATTGCTACACGCATTATGGCTTATTTGCAATAAAAACAAGTAGTAAAATGGAAAAGATGATGATAATTCATAAGACAGTATTTACTTGGAACCAAACTCTTTAGTTCATCCGGTGCTCCAATTGAGCTCACTCCCATGTACGAAACGGATGCACTGGTCAACTCATTGAAGTTGTTGAGCTTCTCCTGAACTTTGTCTGTGCCAACAAATTCAACCGAGACACGCTTCTGGCTTGTCGAGAAGACATACATCTCATCTGAACACAGTGCGCCAAAGCATGTAATCAGGGTAATTAGGAAGGAAGTTCAACAAACTGCGATGATGTTTTCACAAATATTTCTACTCCTTTGCTGAAAGAAAGTGAGCATTGCCGGATCAAAAGAATGTGAAGGCAGCAAATTCAGGGAGCCGTCGGTCGGCGCGCACTGCACTAACCCTGCTCCTCCTTGGTGAAGTCCTGAACGCGGTAGCGTAGGCGGAGCGCGTCCGGGAGCGAGATCCCTCCGCTGAGCGCGGTGGGGCGCGCGAAGGAGGCCGAGCACTCTCCCGCGGCAACAAAGTATCGGCGGCCGGTGAGCGAGCCGTCGTGCCGGCCGCCGGCGCCATCGTCCCAGTCGACGCCGACCCAGTCTCCGGCGTGGCCCTCTACGGGGCCCAGGTAGCGCACCGTGCCTACGCGGCGGGGGTCGCCGGCGGTGTGCACGCGCTGGCCCAGGCGGAAGGCGGCGGCGGCGGCGCTGGACATGACTGGACGACTGGACGACTGGGCATCTGGCCGTCGGTGATTGGTGAGAGGCGTGATGAGCGATGGAAGCCCATTGGGCTTGGCCCAACTGTGCTTGTTCGGCCCAAAATAAAAACAGCATCTCCAATAGTTGGAAAAAAATCCACATTATCTCCCTCAACTTTTGTGAAAGTTTGATTTTACTCTCTGAACTCTAAAACCGGATAAACCACCTCCCTGAACTTTTAAAACCATTCGTTTTACCTCCCTGACCGGTTATAAGTGGTTTTCAAAGACAGTTTTATATTTTTCTTTTTTATTTATTTCGGTTCAATCTTTAAAAATCATAGTAAATCACAAAAAAATCATAAAATAGGAAATCTAATTTTGTTGGACTCCATATGAGTAAATATACACGGTGAACATATAATATGGTATGCTTTAGTATAAATTTTTTGCTATAGCTTTAGATCTATGCTTTTCTATAATTAATTCATAACTGCAGTTTCTATGGTCCAGTTGTGGTGAAATTTTTATGGTGGGCTAACTATTGTATGCTTGAATTGTAGTAAAAAATTTATACTTATTGGATCATGTATAACTTAGTTATAGATTTATTTAAGTGTATGCTTGTTAAAAAGTATTTATAAATCTATAACTAAATTATACATAATCCATTGAGTATGAAATTTCTAAAAACTGAGATATGACAGCTCAGTCCTTAGGAAGTGCTCATATGGGTAGGATTTGAGTATTGTGAGCGTCAATGTTGTACTATGTAATTCTCAAACAGAAATAATTTCTAAAAAATCACTTGATAAATTAATGAGTTTTTCAAGTGACTAAAAAAAGTTGGGAGCAAATCGCAAAAAAAGTTGGGAGCACTCCATCCGATAAAAAAAGTTAGGAGCATATTTATTGTCTTCCTCCAATCATTTTTAAAATCTCGCTCCTAAATGATACTCCCTCAGTTCATAAATAATTGTCGTCATTGGTGTGCGTGCCGCAAGTTTGATTCGATTTATAAAAAATATGTGCAACATTTGTATCTCCAAATAAATTTATTAAAAAACTAGATTCAAAGATCTTTCCAATGATACTAATTATGTACCATAAATATTAATATTTTTTTAATTTATATTTAGTCAAAGTTGTTTCTCGGGAAGCAAAAACGATAGATATTTAGGGACAGAGGGAATAAGGAGGTAATTTTGCATCACCCCAACAACATTTATACTTGTCTTACTCCTTATTCTTCATCACATCCTTCCACCTTTTGGATTGGCCGATGAATGCGCACGTATATATCCGCGCCATTAGAACATCTTCAAGAGTTTCCAAAATTCACTCATAATCTTTATTTTTTGGCAAGATTGAAAAAGCTGCTCTCCAACAACTCCCTATCTGATCTTTCCATACTTGACAAAATTGACCTAGTCACGCGCAAATATACGCACGCGAATCCATCGGGCAATCTGGAGGTGGAAGGATCTGGGAAAGAATAAGTAGTAGGACAGGGTTCTAAATGCAAATGAACAATGGAGAAAGAAAGTATAAACACAGTTAAGGTGATTTAAAAAAAGTCTAGGAAACCTGATGTAAAATTGTCTTCTTCTATATTATAGGAGCGAGATTTTGAAAACTCTTAGAGAAGGTAAACGAATATATTCCCAGCCTTTTTATCGACTTGGAAAACTCATTGATTTACCAATTGATTTTTTTGAAACTAATGGAGATGAGCATCTCCAATAGTTTCTAAAAATCACTCGGCAAACTAATGAGTTTTTCGACTGATTAAAAAAAGTTATATGCATATTTGTTGGCTTCCTTCAATAGTTTCTAAAATCTCGCTCCTAAAAGATAGTAGATAATTTTACATCAAGAATCTCGAACTATTTCTAAATCACCCTAACCAATTTTATACTTTCTTTCTCTCTTGTACATTTGTGTTAGGAACCCTATCCTACTCCTTAATCTTTCCCACATCCTTTCATCTTAGATTGGCGTGATGGATACACGCGCGTATTTATCTGCACGATTGGGTCGATTTTTCCAATTGCCAAAAGATTAGGAAGTGGAATTGGGAGTTGTTGGAGATGTGTGTTTTTTCAATCTTGCCAAAATTCATAGATTGGGAGATCGTTTTGAAAACTATTGAAGATGGTCTTAAGCAACATGATCATTCCCACCTGATTGTAGCACCCGGTTTTAAAAACAAAACCAGATACACACCATATATGAGCCCAGGAAGTCAAATCTCACATATAGCTACAAATAAGGGTAATATCAAAAGACAATGCTCAATATATAACGTACTTAGTATAAATGATATAACCTTAGACAGCAAATATCGGAAAGACAACTCCGATCTTTGGGTGAAGACTCCTATTCCACAGGGACAACTGACTGATTGATCACAAGCCTAATTCCTCCAAACTCTAGCAATCTGATACCCATTCGAGATTTTTCCAAAGATTTAAAAAGTAAAGCAAGCGTAAGTACATGTCGTACTCAACAAATATAACATGGGGTTCATAAGGCTCAAATAGCTGACACTAGTTTAACTGCGATTAGCTTTTAATGAGTCATCTTTTAGCATTTGGGTGGTAACAAGTTTATTCACAAGCCCATATAAACACATGATCAGGTAAACATGAATAATGAATAGCATAAACAGTAATCATTAGTGAGTATCTTTATTATCATTATCATTAGTGTTCATCATCTATTCCATAAGGGTCCAAAGCCACTCGTGACCGTGAGCATGGCTGACATATCAGTTTTACACTCTGCAGAGGTTGTACACTTTCACTGTGAGTCATGATTTATCCTTTCGCCCGAGGTGATCAGCCTCTTGACCCACTACCAAGGAAGATCGGTAGGGTTCACTATGAAACCTTTCAAAGGTTTGTCTAACAAGTTAGGGCCATTAGATTCACTCGGTAAACAGATGTAGGACCCCCCCTTTTCGATGGCACAATAACACGCAGCCTATACACAAGGGGACAGAGGCTGTCCTATACCCGATTCGGCAAGCCATTCTTATGTTATAAAGGTAACCACTAACAAGCTAGAAAAGGTCCTCATACTAAGCTAAAGCTAGAGCCATGTAACCCTCACAGCTGTACTATAAGTCCTGGATGTTCTCTTACAGATAAATCCTTAGGGAGAAGAATCTAAAGCACCATAAAAATAGATCAATGCTCTAGCTCCCTGATTACATGTTGCTAAAAAGTATCTTTTAGTGTTTATTGCATATGCCATTAGTCAAGCTATAAGATCACGGCTTCAGTTAAGCACTAGCATCATACTACCCAATGCAATTCCCCATAGGTGACAAGGAATTCAAGATATCAAGTAGCTAGAAAAATTTACTACGGTTGTCAAGGTAGACACATGCAGTGTGAATTAAATGATTAAAGGTGTATAGGACAACAAGGAAGATCCCATACTATACTTTCCTTAAAACTCAGATCCTTCTTCTACTGAATTGTAACCTCCAAAAGACTTGTTCTGGACCACCAACTTTTTCTATTTCACCAACGTACTTCTCACCGACTGGACATGGTCATAAAACACCACACAAGCATCCATGCAATCATACACGAAGTAAACAATAGAACTAAATTAGAACAATACACCAAACATAAAATCAAGATAAAAAGTTTGTAAAATGAATTTACGTCTCGCTACAAACACACAGACGCGAAAAACACTCTAATCGGAGCTATAACGAAGAAGTTATGAATTTAACAAGATTTCCTTCAATAAAATAATAGATTAAATCTAACCTCAAATTTCAAAAGTTGAAAATATATTTAACAGTAGTATAAACATGTAGATTACGCAATTACGAATCTAACGCAACTTGAATGGATCAAATCAGAGTTAAAACAAAGAAATTATGGCCGAAAGAAAACTAGTGGCAAAATTGTAAATAGATGAAAACGTATTTTGAATCTACTAGAAAGAAACTACGCTTTCAGAATAGGAAAACGTATTCTAGAATGGTGCTATGGACTGTGGGTTGATTTGCAAAAAATAGAGGGTCTCTTTAGCAAATAAGCCAGCGAAGGGGTATCTTCTAATCTAGGCCGTTGATCTTAGATCGAGCGGTGTAGATCAAATGGGGGAACGGGGGTCATTGGAGAGGCGCTGTGCGCTGCGGTGGACATGGCCGGCGGTGAGGAGCACGTCGGCAAACACGAAACCAGCCCTAGAGGCCACTGCTAGACCCGGGGATGGCATGGGAAGAAAGTGGGAAGCACGACGAACTCACCAAGGTGGATTTCGGCGACGTGGAGCGGGTAAAGGCGGCGCGCGGTGCTCGGTGGCGGACGACGAGACGTGGCTAGGGTTTTGCGGTGACTCGGCGAGGAGGCTGTGGCTCAGGACCTTGGGATAGGAAGGCACGGCTCGGCCGGCTGCTATTTATGGCCCGGGAGATTGCTTGGAAAGCACAACAAAGGAAGGAGGCGTGGCGGACGCGGAGTCCATGGCGGTGGCGGTGGAGTCTCGAGCAGATGGGAGGAAGGAGACGGCTAGAGGTGGGAGATGACCGACAAGCGGGTCCCACCGGTCAGCGAGTAGAGGCGCGGATCGGCTGTCAGTGGCACACGGCGGGAGAGAGGAAAGCGGCGTGGCGCGGGCTTAGCTGGGCTACTGCGCGTGCTAGGCTTCGGCGCTGGACTGGGCCGCCTGCTGGAAAGGGGCTGCGACGATGAAGGGAGCAGGCCGCGAGAGGAGAAAAGTGGAGCAGGCCGCTGCTGGACCGGGCCTGAGCGGGAGCATGAAAAATAAGAGCAGGCCAGAAGGGGAAGGAGGGAGAGTGAGGTTTTCTTCTTTTTTATTCTTTCCTTTTCTTTTATTTCAAAATCATTTCAAAAGCATTTGAAATTATTTTGAATTTTGGATAAAACCACTCATACAAAAAAAACACAAATGCACCAGCATGTATGCACAACCATGTTTCTAAACCTTAGGATGAAAAATATTATTTTTCCTATATTTCATGGCACAAA